TTTAAAGATATAAGTTAAGGCAAATAGTATATAGTAACGGAAATCTGTTTTACAGTAAAAAGTGAAGCATAAAATAATGTTTCAGAACGTTTAATTTTTTTGTAAGTAATTATCAGTCTTTCTTAAGAGTATATGTATAAAAAAATTCTATAGTAGGCATGTGTTTTTTTATATTGTAAAGTGAGAAAGTTCTTGCAAGGATGCTATTATAATTTAAAAATATATACATTTAAAAATTGATTTAATGGCCAATAAAGCTATATATAAGAATATTTTTTGATCTCGCAAATATACTTTCACACATTATGATTTCCAAGATGTCATAACAGCTTAATTAGTTTACTGTAATTCTTCATTCGGCCGTACAATTTTACGACCGGCGCGTATGAGTTGTTTACAACGCGTACACAAATTCGCTACTTTAGAGACATTGTATTTTATTTGAAACAGAGCTTTTAAATTACATAGAACTTTTAATATAAAGCAGCTTTCAAAATAAATATATCGAACAGATTTCATATAAACATCTTCACATTTTGATTCCACATAAAACTCTGCGAGTGCCAAGACTCGTAAGAGACTGGTAAAATTATAAACCACCTACATTAAGATTTGTAATCAAAAATAATCTTTTAAGAAACTCATCAAAAGAGGATCATGTGATCGGGTTCAAGCGACATTTTCAATCCAGCGTTGCCAAGTATGAAACAATATACAGGTTGTTGTTATTTACAATTTGCACATCATACAGTTCATTGTAACAATTTGTCAGTTTTATTAGTGTCAAATGTTATGTAATAGGCGTGTAACGATGTGGTCATTTGAACTTGTCGAATATTTTTAATTAACATTGCCCGCGGCTCCGCCCGCATTCAGATGACCAAAAACCAAATTCTTAGGTTTTACATATTAGTATACTCTTACATTGCAGTTTTTGTATTTTTTCTCAGAAATGAGATATTTTCCCGCCGTAAAAAGTATCCTATATGTTGTCCCGGATAACTAGCTATCACCATACCAAATTTCATGAAAATCTCTCCAGTGGTTTTTCTGTGATGCGGTACAACAGACAGACATCACAGATTTTCAAAAAATATTTAATGTACAGATTCGGCTTAGTTAAAATTTTATAATATGTATAAATAACAAATTATACTATACATTTTTAATTAAAATGTATCTGGGACATACATACATACATTTAGTTGTTTAATATAAAATTAAAAAATTGCCACTAACACTGTGCGTTTGTTTCTCTTTAGAATAGAAAAGCTGTGAACGATGATATACCTACTAGAAAATTTATACCCCATAAAGACAAATAGGTATGAGAAAGTACAGCATAATATATAAACAAACAGACATACACGTGTCCCATAACGCCCCTGTATAATCCCGTAATGTCACTCGGGCGGTGTCAGGTGACGTCACGGCGCGTCACGTTTGCGTAACGGCGGACTACGTATTTATTTAAAGGCGGTCATTTGCAAATAGCACATGTCTTGCATGTGTCAATGTATTTATAGAACCACTCGAGTAGGTCACTTGTGCCTACATTTTTTAGCCACTTTAGTGGTTATTGGTATACTTGTTAATAATTTTGGGATAAGCTTGTAGTGTAGTATGATTAGACCGATTCTGTGCGATTTGTTATCATATAGCTAAGAAAGATGAAGCCGCGACGTGCACTTTGATAGGATCCTGGTATGGATGGTATGTGGCAGATTTTAAATGCAGTTTCATTACCAAATAGGTACTTTTCTAAACCGTTATCACTTTGTTAATACTGTTGATTATTCTAACTACATTTAAATTTTTAATATAATATCACTTTATACCTTAAAAAGTACCTTTTTTTAGTATTTAAAATATTAAACTATACATGAAATTTAATTTACGCATAGGAACATGTGTTACGCGATATTATATTATATATGCATATAATAAAACAGTAACTTAACGAAATCGATGTGCGAATTTCAAGTAAAAAGTACTGAACCGATTTTAAGTTAATTTTATGTACTGTGTAGTGATAGCTTATTACTCGGGTCAATACTAAGGGCACCTTTTACTACAGGGAAATCTTTCTTTCACACGGGAAAACACAATGGCTGGTTCTATCGAGTCTTTTTAGAAATTAACATGTCTAACGCTGGTTAAACCTTAAGATTTATCAAAACAATGTACTACAAAATTGTAGGTCTTAATAAAGCTTACAAAAATATGCGTATCTCCTAAGAGGTAGGTACACTCACAATAACTATTCATATCTATTTAAAACATACCTAGGATACCCGAGTGAAGTAAGAGTAAGTTACTAGTCTATACTAATATTATAAAAAGAAAAAGTTTGTGAATTGTGAGTTTGTGACGTTGTAGGGGGTATCTCTGTATCTCTGGATCTATTGCACCGATTTAGATAAAATTTGGTAAGAAGACAGTTTGAGACGCTGGGAAGGACATAGGATACATTTTTATTACCGGAAATCATTTCTTAAGGGGGTGAAAATGGGGATGAAAATTTATATGGAGAATCAACCTAGGGACAAACCCGAGCGAAGCGAGGGCGAGTCGCTAGTAGATACTAAACCGTGAAGATACGAGTATATATATACCTATCTAAATCTTTTGATTTATATTTATTCTAATATATCTAATTCATCACGTTTTTCGCTGACTTTAAACATATTATCGAGTCTCCGCGTCACTATTTCAAGCCGTTTGGAAAGATATACAACGACCATTAACTATGAAGTTTGTCAACTTGTAAAACCAATTTAAAAATGAGTAACGGTCAGGCAGTAAGAAAATCAGCGCGATAACACGGTGTTGGAATTATTAAACTCACATAAATCTTGATAAAAGATAAAAGTTACTGGCATGTTACCAAGTTTCACAACTTGTGATGGGTTAATCTTAACTCTTATATATGGTGTTTGGACAGACTGATTGTATATAAATATAAAATTAAATTAATAAATATTAAATAATAAACATAAAGTAATAAATATAAATTAATAAATATAAAGTTAAATATAGGAGAGAATAATATACTTAACGCCAGAAGAAAATATATTTGTTATTTATCATTTGATAGTCGACCAAAACTATTTGTATACTAAAGTATGACATACATATATCACTAATGATATATGCCTACGTAATTAAGAATGAATGAAGCCCATAGCTTCATACTGCAACATTGCAATTATTAGTTCAAACGACCAATATTTGTTGTACTTTACAGTAGAATTTTTTTCCTGTACATATTTTAAAAACAAAGCTTTTTTCCTATGATAAATAATAAATAAATATGTTGGGACATTAGCACAGCACCATCTAGTTCCATGGCAAGCTACGAGGCTTGTGTCATGGATACCAGATAGTTGATACACTACACATATATAACTTTAAATACATACATATTAGGAATATAAACACCCATGACTGGAGTACAAACATTCGTGCTCATTACACAAATGAAATAGCCAGCGGCTCTCGAACCCGCGACCGCTGGCACAGCAAGTAGGGTCACTACAGAATGAGTCAAACGTGTCGTCAAATATATGATTTGTATACATATTTGTACATATGATAAAATACATCTTTTCAGCTTAACATTTAAAACTCAATAATTCGCATTAAAAATTCATTCAGTAAATTGGTCGTTTGGATAAAATATAAATACTGAGACTACGACGATATGAAAGAAGTGTAGTTTTAATAGTAACATTTAACCAACTTTTTATTTAACATAATTTAACTTTAATATTTATTGAAAAAACTCATGTGTGAAATTTAGTATGTAAGACATTTCAAAACATTATTTGTTATATGCAATTTACGACTTAAATGAAAAATATATCTTTTACCACTCGCCATGTACCGGAAATTTTGCTCAACACACGCTTTAGAGTTTATATAGCTTTTCACTAGCGCGAAACTAATTCGATGAGTCAAACGTTTTACTTCATGATGTCATTTGACATAAACGCGTACTTCAATTTTTATTGCATTACTAGAGACTCAACCTCGCTCCGCTCGGGTTCTACCCTACTTACGTTTTAACGTTTAGTATAGATTTCTCAGAGATGAGATATTTTCGCACAGTAAAAAGTATCCTATATATTGACCCGGACAACCTATCATCAAACCCATCAAAATCCCTCTAATAGTTTTTCCGTGATGCGTTCACAGACAGACAGACAAAAATTCTGAAAACTATAGGTTCGGCCTCTGTATCAATAATAATGTCTATTTCAATAAGATTTTCCGAAAAATATTTTTTGTACACATTCGGCTTAGTTACAATTTTTTACATGTATAGATAAAATAGAAAACAATTATCTTATGACTGGGCTTACACGGCAATACACTGCACTTTTCACAGTATTCGATTATAAACTAAGAAATTGTAATGTTGTTATCGTCTTCACGCTGTTATAAATTTTAGCTTGTATAAAAAAAATAACACTCATGGTTTTTCAACTACCGCGAGTAGCCGTTAAAGTTTATTCAGTTTACTTGACAAGCCAGGTGAGCTGCCGTTAAGCTTTTAGCAGTGTACGTTTTTTGCGGTACAAAGTGTGTGAACGGTTCTAAGAAAAACGTATGCCTATACTAACTTTTCTAAAAAGTAGAAACAAAAATTGTATCTATAAAGATATTTTAGCTTTTACTCAATTGGTAATACAATTTTGTATAAGAAAACACTTTTTTACTTGTATTAACATTAATAATAAATAAGGGATAAACAAATGTCGAGCCCATTTTTTTATCCCTGTGTGTGGTATTTCGCTTTTATATATAAATATGTTGAGTATGTTGATGTGAAGTTTTCAAACGACATGGGAAGTCCACCTATCCACACTTGGCCAGCGTGGTGGACTATGGCCTGGCCCCCCTCATATTCAAGGGAGGCCCGTATCCAGCAATGGGACGTCAAAAAGGGCTGAATACAATACATAAACGAAGATATATGAATATGACAAGACACTTACCCTCAGGTATCTTAATAGTAGTCCCCAAGTTGAGTTGCTGCAGCCTGGCCAGAGCCGCTTGCTGCAACGCCCTCCTCTCTATCTCGGTGAGAGTGAGCAGGGAAGTGTCAGCCAGCTGCACGCACCGCCCGCTGCCGTCTGTCCAGCAACAACTGCCCTGCACAACGCGTCACGTCATCACACCACGGATAGTACATGTTATTGAAAAATTGAAATAAATATTGCAAAGTTGACATCAATATTGAAAAATTGACATTAATGTTGAAAACTTGACATTAATGTTGAAAAATTGACATTAATATTGAAAAATTGATAATAATATTGAAAACATTGACAATAGTATTGAAAAATTTGCTAAATTTTAACAGACTTGACTTTCTATTGACCGATACATGTATAAGGCTCCTTCGAATCGACTAAATTATATATAATATAATAGATAGGAGTATGGATCTATTCGTAACGTTTTAAAAAAAGGTAAGTATGAATTTAATTAAATTATAATATTATATTATTAGTTGTTATATTGGTAGGTGAAAAATTATAAAATAAAGAAAATGTGGATTATTTAGTTGTTATAACTGTTGTAATAAACTATGTATCTATACTAATATTATACAGAGGTAAAGTTTGTGAGTTTGTGACGTTGAAGGGGGTAATCTCTGGATCTACTGAATCGATTTAGATGAAATTTGGTAAGAAAATATTTTGAGCCCTTGGGAAGGACATAGGAACTAAAACATAGTTTTTATCCCGGAAATCATCCCTTAAGGGGATATAAATGGGGATGAAAGTTTTTATGGGGAAGCAATCCATTAATCATAAAAAAGTACTGTTTTTCCATTATATGTATATAATATTATTTATAAACTGATTGCTTGGATTAATTATAACTTCAAGTAAAGAGGATACATTTAACTATTTAAAAGAAACTTCTTAAGAAAATAATATTTCCATAGTCCTTTTCAGTTAAAAATTATTTTTCTAAATTGTTAGTATTAAGCACAAGTTTACTATAGAGTTTATTTAATAATCGTCACACATACACCCATTAACTCATGCGATCATGCTTAATAACTGATGAAATATTTCTATTTAAATCTAAAGACTTTCTATGAAATTATCCGTACCAAGACATACTGTACATATATGAGGAAAATTACTTATATTTTTAATTTTAAATAAAACTATCTTTTCGTATTTTGTCGCGGATTTATTTGCATTATATTTTTAAGTAACATTAAATTCGTTGTATAATTGAATCATGATTATAAAACAATATAAAATATTATTTAAAACAATTTGTTTGTAACAGAAATAGAAATATATAATGATTAAATTAGCATATCTACCTGTAGAATAGCTAATGCCTATTTCGCGAGTATAATATTTTTTCAAACATTGGGATCAAAGAGCCAATAGTCCGTAATAAACAAAGTAGGTGCGAAGCCGTTATCGTTACCAGACCATCGTTAATGTCACGACAGAAGCATTTTGCATAAATATCGAACGTTTGAGAATCTTATAAAGTTTACATTTTCTTTGTAGCATAATGGGCATAATGAGGACTACGCACGTGTAGTTTGAGCACTGTAAGAGATTGTGATTACTAAATCAAAGTACGGTTTTTGTTTTCTTTTTTTTTATAACGGTACTTTGCTTTATAGCATAAGTATTAGGTACTCTCCTCGGTGGTGTAGTTGCTAGCATGTACGGCTGCACACTCGGAGGTCCTGGGTTCGATTCCCGGGTCGGGCCAAGTTTAGTTATTGAGTCTTTCTGTATAGTAAGCCTCAGTAACAGCCCGGAGTTGGGAAGTTGGCGGTGTTTCACCCCCGTAAAGCCGTCGGCCCTGCGCCTTAACTCTCATTGGTCGTGTCGAGTCATCCCACCGGAGTATGAGAATGACAGGAATAGAGTGCCCTTGTGTCTACGCGTACAATTGTGCACTATAATATCTCATGCGCAGTTGGCTAGTCTCAATGAGATTGGCCGCCGTGGCCGGAATCGGTCAGGAGAACATCATTAGGTATTATCACACACTATCCTTTCACTCTCAAAGTACGGTGGGACTGCAATTCCAAACGACCATTGAGAGGTTAGCAGCAGGATCGATAATTTTACATGCTCAGAGCTGACCTAATTCTCTAACCTAACCTAACTTTAAGCTGTTACTGAAAATGTTGTTAAAGTCTCAGGTAAGCTACTCCCCCAATACCTTATTTATGCGTTGCCAAACTTTATTATATTAAAACGATGGCGAAGAATAAGATTATATATTTATTATTTATATTAATGTCCTCTTTGTGGTCGAAATTAAACCATAATCATAATTAAAAATTTGAGGGAAACATATGAGTAGAATTTACCTATCTATATAAAAAAACTTTTTCCACATATTTTATTGGTAACACTAAAAGCTCTGTAGTTAAAAGAAAAAAAGAAAAAAAAGAGAATCGGTTGACAAACAAGATAGAAAAGTTGAAAACTGAAGTTATGTCCACCATGTTTTTTCATATTATGTAGATTATGCAGAGGGATGGTGTTTCTATTGAAAGACATTTTCAGATCTTTCTAAGCTCTTAGGTTTAAAAAGATATATTAAATAAGGCAGTCACCAGATAGCAATGAGCGTCAAAAAATCCAATGTGAAAAACAATTTTCAGCAAAAAATAAAATTTTCATGACGCCTTTGAAAGTTCAATTTGATAGGTCAGTCTTTTTGAAAATCTGTTGGGTGACGATGAAAAATCAATAGATTTCTGTCGATTGCATCTTACATGTCATGCAAGTTGATTTGAATAATTTGGTAATTATTATTTATTTAACATAAAGCCAAAATACAATTTATGTAAAGTGAAAGCGCCGACTAAAAGGCGCTGAAAGACTATCTCGCTATACCCTGATCAAAGGCTAGGGCCGGCACTGAGGAAAACGCACATAGAAGGTCCTGTAATGATCTATAAAGGAAATCTTAGTTTATATAATAATAAAATACTTTCTTAGATTTACGCGAATATTTGACATTTTAAATAAAACTATTTTTTCGGATTCTTTCGCGGATTTATTAGGATTTTTGGTTCCCGACGTTTTGAATGCTTTAAAGAATGAAAATTGCACCAATTACCTACCTTAAATTTTTTTTTAACTTTAAACATTTTAATAATTTTAATTAGTTTTATAATTGAATATGGAATATTATTTATTTAATTTTTGCTGTAATTATTATAATTATTACAATTTTAAAAATATTAATTAGTAATCTATATTTAGTGTTGCCATTATTATATTTATAACCATAAAGAAAAAATATAAAATATAATATTAATTATTTAAGCCATATAATTGTTCTATGTGTAATTTAAAAAGTTAAAATTAATTAAGGATAATGATTTTAATTTTGGTTGCTATTATTTGAAAAGACAAATTAATCCGAAAAGATAGTTTTATTTAATATTTATAATGATATTTAGGTTCCTGCAAAATACATTTTTACCGATATTTGACTAAAGATATAGTGCTTTAATCAGATTTAATTACTTTTAGAACTTTTACATATAGAAATTTAATTTATAATAATAAAAGATTGTATCTTTGATAGAAGTGTTTACAATAGAGTAAAAACAAGAAAAATCCTTTAGAACAGTGTTCTAAACTGAAATTTTTTTACATAAATAGCACTGTATGTATATAATGACTTTTCTTTCCTCCGCCAACGATTAAAGTTTTAACATGCACTAATTTTAGTGTATCAAGTGTATACCTGACAATAGCCTGTCACTCAGAGAATGTGCAGTGGAAAAACTCGCAGTGATTCAGAGTCAGAGCGGTGTGATAAATATGTTTTGTCTGAAAGCACGCCCACATTCAGTTTTAGTGGAGCATAATCGATGCAGTGTTTGGTTTTTGATGATCACTGGCGTGTTGTCATAGAACTGTATCTAATTTTATCAAAATTACTAGATTTGGTTTTGATGCTGTTTATATTACGTTACGTTGTTTCTACGATTATGGCATTCTGTCTGTTTTACCACTGAAGGACTTTAGGCTGCATCTTTTAAGTCATATAATTTTTTACAGAATAGTGAAAAAAATATTTTTTACCGACTTTAAAAAGCGAGATGGTAATTAATTCAGCTGAATTTCTTGTTTATGTTAATTATTCTCTTCGCCAGTAATAAACAAATTCTTATAACTATTTTTTTATGTATAAGCCATAATACGAGCGGAGTGGACGCATGTATATGTCAAATGAAATTGCGCCCCTAAGGGTGATTAAGTATAAATTATAATATTAGTGTTACTTCGAAGTGATTTTACGGCGTACATTTTTTAAATAATTACTTTCATCATCATTACATAATTATTTTGAAAGTGGTCAATTCTTTTACAGTTTTATTATATCGTATTAAAAATACAAGTAATTTTATTGTTACTAACAATTCTGCATATTGCTTTTAATATGAAAAATATAACACTTTAAAACTAAAATACGAATTATTTAGACGTGAACAGTATTTTTTCAATTTTGTTCAACTAAAAGTGATATAACATGAAATAAAACTTGGAAAATCATACACGCAGCTTTATTATTAATGGTATTTCTTAGCAAATAAAAACAGATTTCATCACTTTCGCAATCATGATGCCCATTTAATTATCGGTAGAGTTATAGCTACGACTAAGTGATAACAAACGAATGATCCACAGAACGACATCAAAGTCGTGTGTGAAATATACGCAGTCTAAACATCTATAACGAAAATGATTAAATGTCCGTTTGACTTTTTTACAAAATCCCAAATAAATTTTTTGATAAATACTTTTTTTTCTTAGTATTGTATACATAATTTAGTTTAAATAATATGCTAAAATTCCAGTTGCAGCAACAACTTGTGATGTTTCTTTGAAACAAAAAAGAGTATAATCTATCTTATGATTCCCTCTAATTCTAGTAACATTACTAACATTATCCTAAAAATGATCGCGTATAAACGAAAAATATAAAAAAATAGATTTTTGAAATAAAGTGATGCCAACCAATTGAAAGTAATTGTCATATTCCATATTTTATTTTATATCTATACTTATTATAAAAATAAGTCCCCCGGCCGCGTCTTTCTGTCCTCCTGTCTGTCCTCCTGTCTGTCTGTACGC